TGTTTCGTTCAATAGCCGCGGAGATTTTCGCCGACTCGTTCGTTGGAAACGAGTTGCCGTAACGCGATTTGGATAAAAGACGATCGCCGTCTTTCAAGGAAACTTCGCGTCCCTCTCAAGGACCAGATTCTTTCTTACAGAGAAGTTTAATATTCTTCTTTTCGCAATATTGAATGCGCCGATCGATGCTCTGATCGATTCTTTTCATATTGATTCGTCTCTGTCTTGAAAAGATAGGGAGGGGATCTGGAAGAATTTACAAAGTTTTTTAAGGAAATTTATGAAACATTTCGATTATACTTAATACGTTTAATATGTTATCTCTTTTATTCTGAGCACGAGTGTATCTCGTAGGCATAATATGTGAACTGCTAGGATCTTTCAAATAGTAGAAGAAATGAAATATATTTGGAATATCGTTTGTAATTTGAAGTATCTAAATAATTATTCGTATTATTCCAATTCGTGAAATTATAAATAATAAGAACGAATGATCTGTTAACATTTATATCATCGTAGTTAAAATGTGGTCAAAATTTTAAAGAAAATCATTTAATTTATTCAGTTTAATATTAATTTATTTTATTGGTTTTATGAGGATTTTGCAAATATTTTGAGAACATAAAATATGACAGATTTCAATGCTGCTAATTCGGATTACGGAAGATAATTTAGAATATTCCAAAAGGTATTGATTTGTAGATGATAAGGAGACATCGATAATTAACTTATAAATAAAATGATTGACTTGTATTTAATGAAAATTTGAAAAACAGTAATTATGTTTGATCATGTTACAACAATGGAAAATAAATTTTATAGAAATTAAGACTAGAAATCAATACTTCGTATTTGATTAAAAAGAATAATTTTTATCGAAATCCTTACTTAATTTTTAATCAAACCAAAATTTCAAACATTTTATAATATAATACTTTATCAATTTCCTTGCAATTTCATAATATATTTTCTCCATACAAAATACTAATTTATCATAAAATTATGTAATTGTAATATAAATAACACACGTATATAAAACTCTTTCACAAAAATAATTATAACCAAAAAGAATCTATTTATCTCTTTATAAATTATACTAACTAAAAAAAAATAATCCTGAAGATTTTAATCCAATGAAAATTATTATTAAATAACCACCGATCTTTATTTTAATCTCAATTTTATAAAAATCACTATTCTTATAATTATTAATCCCAATTATGTACAATTGATGAAATTGCAATAATTTTATATCATATTGACATTAACCTTAACTCCAATTGAATTAATAAAAAGGAGATTATCAACTCTTAGAGAATGACAGAGATTTACCAAACGCATATAATGGGTGTTAACATGACAAACAACACTCTTAAAGGCTGTCCTAGTTCGCCAGAAGGAATCGCTTAATTTTTACGCGGCTCGTAAGTCAACGAGGGAAGGAACGTGGCGCGGGTTTACGAGCGCTCGTAAAGCCTCGCAAGCTCGCATTAAGCCCGATCGCGATCAGCCTCAAGATTAGGCCCGAGGATCCTTGCCACGGAGCCGGTCGATCGATAAGCAGCGCCATTGGTATCGTCCTGTAACGCAGGACGGGCTCGCATTTAGAATACGGCCA